GTACGATCAGAGGACAGGAACACGAGAGAGCTCACACACACTGCATGTGTGACAGTTAAAAGTCACGACACTGTTTCTCGGTACGATCAGAGGACAGGAACACGAGAGAGCTCACACACACTGCATGTGTGACGGTTAAAAGTCACGACACTGTTTCTCGGTACGATTAGAGGACAGGAACATGAGAGATCAGGGACGACAGGAGGCCATCCGGCCCACCTTGGCTATTTGGTAGTTCATAGCTAATTCATGCAAGGATCCCATCCGGCTGTCAACCGCACTCAATAACATGGCTGGTAGCTTCTTCCACACTCTGAAAACCTTTTCTTTGAGTAATGAAGAAGTGCCTCCTTCTCAGATTTATAACCCATTTGAGGGATTATTCCCGGTCCCCTGTGCTTTTTTGTTGCTCTGCCCGTTTCTGAAGACTGTCGGGGAGACCCGTCTACGAGGGCATTTCAATCTGGGTCCCCTCAGCCTTTTCTCTGCGGAAAAACTGTCAATTCGCAAAGCTGCGCCATTCCTGAGCCACAGAGTCTTCCTGTCTGCACTGGGGAGCTACAGTACACTGTCCTGGGATTCCCTGACACGCACGGAGACAAGACAAGGAGAGTGCACACCGCATCAGTCCGGGCGGATCGAGAATTCGCTGCACATCACCATTATAGTGGTCAAACTCTTTAAGGAAATTTGCACCGGGAACAAAAGTATCAGTCCTTACGCCCTCTCCCTCCTGGCCTCGTGCTCTCTGAATGGCCTCAGCACCCTTTGCTGTTCTCCATTCTGCCTCCGTTTGCTGTGATGCTTCCACACCAGTTTAACACTCCTCCTCCAGCAGTGCAGAGGGCCATTCTGTGTCTTCGAGTGCTCTGTACAGCACAGACACTGAGTCCACAGTCACAGCCTTGTTCACCGTGTGAAGCCACATTAAAGAAAGGCCTGGTCCACCGCTGCTACCACCATTACTCTTATTACCCCGCTACCAAAATTATTACTACCAATACTCCCACTACCACCGATACTGGTGTTACCACTGCTACCACCATTATTTCTACCAGTACTCGTACTACCACTGCTACCCCACCGCTGCTACGAGTACTACTGTACTACCGGTACTAGGATACCAATACTCCTACCGCTACCACCATTCCGGCAGCACGCAACTGATAATAATGGTCAATCTTACCGTTAGTCGACGCGTGCTCAGACGCACACAGAAGATGAAAAAGGAAAAGACTGAAGACAGACAGCACACCCTCAAAAGGAAATATGAGAGGTGTGTTAGAACTGTTCTCTCTCCCTCCCTCTCTCTCTCATCTCTCCGAGCGGTGCAGAGCTTCCTCAGAACAAAGGGCTTGACATTTCAGAAAGTCAGGCGGATAAAGAGGAAGGGGCTCACATACAGCAGAAGAGAGAGGAGAGGAGGGGGAGGCAGAGGGAGTGGAGCAATAGGGAGTTGAAGTCTTTCTCGGAGAGGAGAAAACATCTCACAAACCTTCTGTCTGTCTTACAAACTGCT